AATATTATATAGCATATTTGCAAGCTATGTCAACAACATTGATTCATTTACTATCTCTTATTGGAATAGGAAAATCAAATCGGAATCTAGATACATCGGTCTTGCCGACTTTAATATTTCGTTTGCAGTATTTCCTACACTTGTGCATTTAGTATTTTGTTACCGATAAATTTAAATCAGGCGACATGCTACTATCTGGTATAGCTGCTTTCAGTTAAGTTTGACTACTGACACCCACTTATAACTTTTCTGTATTTTATGCCAGCACCTTAAACTTGATATAGTGGCAAAACTGGCTATTCAAAAAATCTGTATCAATTTTAGAGTCTTGCGGTACTGTAAAAGGAACTCAAAAGGTTTTTCAGGTCAACATGAAAGGGAGCCGCTGTGATGATTTATGTCAAGCTTCATGAATATCACTTGCACCTCATTAAATATTTAGTAATCATGTTTTATAATGTAAAAATCAAATAAAGCAAAAGAATGACTCCAGGCTAAGATATAATTGAACTAGAAGACTTTGCACTCCAGAAAGAAGTCTCACTTAGTCTGCTTGCCAAGGCCTGAGATAATTAGGCTGGAATTTTTTTGAGCATATTAGAGCCAGAGAAGCACAAGTAATAATGCTGGCACAACAACATATTTTATTATGTACATGCACTGTTTTAGAGAACTATTTGCCTCACTGACTGTTGAGAAGAAAGTTTATTATAGGAACTATTTCATTCATTAAGTAAAAGTATAATAACTTCAGCGCTTTGATTCTTGTTGACAGTGAATTAGGCATATGCTCATATCAGAAAGGGTGCATAGCATTAAAATTCACTAGTATTGCACCATGAAGACATGTGAAGGAGAGAAATAGATGCTCTGCAGATTAATAGAATAGTGGACCATTATGAGGTAATAATTAACTAAAGTCTTCACAATGAGAATGAATCTCGCAGTAATTGATTGGGTAAGTGAGTGAGTGGCAGTCATTATTATGGTGTCATGACTTCTAATTATAGAATGAAAAGAATCAACCTTCCATTCACTAGCTCTCATGCAGCGAAAGATCTGAAGCACCCTGATAGAAAAACACCACTAAAGGTTTTAGCTGAGAAGACTTCGCAATTCTTAAAAAAAATCTGGGACAGATACGTTGCAAAGAACAAAGTTATTGTGGAGTATGTTGCTGTCATGTTTCTTGTTATTTTTTATTACTTTCATTGATAGCCCTGTTGCTAATCAGGATGATATAGAGGAAGAGGAAGAAGACACACCAATACATGTAATGCAAGAAGGTGAAATAATCCCCAGCAGTGACGACGAATCAGATGTCTGATATTAGCGACAATGAATTATAATTAAACACGGAATGCAATTTGCAACTTCTGTTTCATTCAATTCGGCTTGAGCAGCAGTCATTGGAGTATGACAAATATGGAACGCTTCTACTAAGTTCATTTTGTGTGTTCCAAATTTTGCAAGTTGTATTCTGTTCTTTATTATTTTTTTCACTTGTTATGGTAAATTACATGAGCATCTCTCTCGTAATAAATCTATTATTATTTTATTCATTTAGACTTATATTATCACATGTAATGATTTACAATGCTTCAGGTAATGTACATGTATAAATTTAAATTACAATTATTATTGACAGCTGTTATATTTACATGTAATATATTTATTGTTTCCAATCATTAGGACTCCAATCATATCCAAATGCATCAAAAGTACTCATGTAGTCTCTGTAATGGCCATCATGGCTTGGATATCTCCTGATTTCCTAATTTTACAATTGTAAGTGTATGATTTATAACTATTTACTACTCACGCCAATCACACATTTAGGCATTATGTCCCCTCTGTCATCCCTTGCTGTCCTAGCTTCTTTTAACTGAAAGTAACCCCCATCCCGCCACACTCCTAGCTTATTCAAAAGGCTCCAGAATTTCTTATACAGCTGGTATCTCTTTTGATCATTGACGGGATGAAGATCACATGATCCACGGAGGAAACTAGGAGACTGAATGACACAAGAGGAGCAATAGCATGACCAACAGTAGTTCAACCCTTGAAGAATAGGTGGGTTATCTTCCTCATGTCCTCTGATCTCATTTCTAGTGCCTCCAATTATAATTTATAGGCCACTCAGTGTTAATCTGTGTGATATAATTAGCTAACAGTAGCTAGTAACTGCTCTCTCCTTTGCAGAATCTTCACTTCCTTTACCGATCTTCCACATTACCTCCACTTTACTTTCACCCTGTTCTCTTCTGACCATCTCCATCACTTCCAATATATATGACTGTCTTAGCAGTGTAATAGTCTGTTCTTATCTACTTTTTTAATTTGGTTAAATGTTAGTAAAACTGTCTTACGAGTCCTCTTTAAGGTCTTACGAATGCCATTGGTGCCTGCATACTATGGTCCCTCATTGCTCTGTTTTAATTTCATCCAAAAGCCACCAACCATTTTTAATTGACTGGGCAGCCCACTCCCTTTTTATGCTGGTGATCATGCTCGGTGCTGTAGCAATCATCACATAAGGTGGAGCACTGGTTATATTTTGCACATGCTTGTTTAATCTTAAGTATTGTAACCATTGATTGTTGATAGAAAGTAGTATGGTAAAGGGAGGTCCATCTTAATGACATTGTTTAATGTGACTTGTATTTCTGTGCATATGCAATGTGAATCATGTGTGTGTGTGGTGTATAAAAGCATTGATGTATATCCACCTAGTATTGCTATGATGTGATCAAACTGTATGCAGAATGTGAGATAAATCAATGTATATAACAGTAAATAATGTTGCTTGTTGCTACAATGGACAGCAAAAGGGTGCAAAAGAGGTTTAATGTTCATTAGAGTTAAGCATTGATGTAAATTTGTGTGAATATCATTTACGTAGGACAGAGAAATACTAAGATAGGAAGCTGTTATTGTTAAATCCCAGTGTACTTTGTGGCATGTTGTACATGTTTATTACAACTATCAGCTGCTATTGGATCAATGGCACTGCTGACAAGTTTTGAAGGTCAACAAAAATTTTAGAGTAACATTAAAAGTTATTATACAAGTAGTGATTTGGTACATATAATAATGATCATCTCACTTGTTAATGCTGCCATCAATGCTGTGTGCATTATATTATGTTAATGCTTGCCGGCTGATGTTGCACATAATGCTGCCATCAATGCTATGTGCATTACTAAGTTAATGCTTTCCGCTGATGATGCGCATTTGAATGATGCTGCCGTTGATGCTGTGCAAATATTAAATGCTTGCTATCTGATGTTTTGTATCTTTTGTTAATGATTGTTGTAACATGAGCATGTTCAAATTAACAAAAAATGATTGTTTGCACATTAGAAATTGTTCATGTACATGATGTTATTTTATATTAAGCAGATCATGAAATATTTTTAATTGAGGATAGCTTTATTTATTGTAAGCAATATTATATCTGAAATACATGTACATGCATATGTGACTCGATATGAGAAAACCAGGTTATCTGCGGGAATCATCATTTTGAGCTATGGGCTCATAATCACGAAAAATCTTTACCTGGGCGAAATTCATTTTATCACATAAACATGTTATATAAACAAAATCCTTTCATTTGATACCAAAATCAGGGGTAGCGAAGCCTTCTTTGCCGAGTTATAAGCCCTTCGACATTTTTACCTTGATTGTGCACGGAGAATGTTACACGGAGCGACCACGGAATAAAAACAGAGGGCTTTAATGCGTCATTAGGTAACCATGGAGTCTCTATAGCAACTATTTAAAGTATAACAAAGACGAAGAAGACTCCTTATAAAAACTATGGCTACAGAAAAAGACATTGCTCGCTTGTTAAATGAAGAAATAGGTCCTCGAGACAGTGACTACGTTGCTTCAGTTCTTGGGGACTACTTTTGTGATGAAACTAGTGGTAAGCTTATTCACAACACTGTTTACGTACTAACTGTGAATAGCGGTTAGCTATCACAACAATGACATTCCATCACCTGTATAAATCCACAATATTATTATATTAAACTTAGTTATACAGTGTATTTGTTAATTGATAGAGACAGACTATGAAGCAGAAGATATGGAAGAAGAGGTAGAGGAAGGGAAAGAAGAAGAGAAAGAGACAAAAGATTGTGATGAAGATATTAATCCACCACTGTTTGATCCTGAGGTGGCTGTGGAGCTACAAGTATCAGATCTTGATTTAGAATCAGCGATGCCTGATGCTCCAGCTACTTCAACTACTCACTCTGGTGATGACATGAGGAAGGAAGACCTACAGGAGGAAGAAGAATTATCAAAGTTCTTTGAACATGGATGTGGTTGCTCAGATAATTGCTATGCACTGTTCAGTCACTCTTACATAAAAACATATAGATGTGACATACAAGACATGGCAAAGCCTGTTCAAGAAATTGCTATTATGAGTCAAGTGGCAGCAACATCTACCATAGGGGGATTGTCGACTGGCAACCACAGGAGACAGGAAGAGAGAAAGAGGCAATTTTTTACGTTCATGCATCAAGGTCATAAGGTTTGTAACTATGAGTGACACAACACAAAATTAATCGTTTTTCAACTAGATATGTAGAGTAACATTTCTGAAGCTACATGCATGTGGCAAAAGCAGGTTTGAGGAAATCATGAAAAACTACAGAATGAATGGATTAATACCAAGGTATGAGACTTACAAATTCAATGTTACGTACTTAACATTATTAGAGTTCACGGAAATGCTGGAAAGACCCCAAACCATGCTTTGACTTATGATGATATTCTCTGGGTTGTTGCTTTCATCAAAAATTACGCTGAAGTCCATGGAATCAGTCTTCCTGAAAGAATACCTGGAATGAAAAGTTACGAGAATAAGAAGTTCTTACCATGCAGTACATCTAAAAGGCAGGTATACTTAGAGTATGCGGAATCATGTGAAGGGCTTTTTGTCAAAGCATGTGCTGAAACAACATTCAACATATTGTGGCGACGCTACCTGCCTGATATTGAAGAAATGAAGCCTATGTCTGACTTGTGTGCCACTTGTAAAGATAAGTGAACTGATTATAAGAAGTGCTAACATGCAAACAGATGAAAGGATAACTGAGGTAAGCAGTATTGTAATAACACAAGTATTATTTAGAATTTTCAGGCAATGCAAAAGGCACTAGATCACAGAAGTCTTGTTAAAAAGGAAAGGGAGTACTATGAGGATGTATTAAAAGAGGCACAATTATTGTTACACTCAAATACGCTTAAATAATGGAAGATGAACTACCTAATTTATTACCACCAAAGGGTATGTCAACTGAAAGGAAATGGTACCTTTACGAAAAGATAAGATTGTTTTGCAGATACGAATGTAAAGATGTAACCTGCCCACTTCCTGATGCACCTCGACCAACAGGATCATCTCGACAATCAACTCCAGGTGTAGATAATCCACCAGACCTTGCAATGGAGATTGAAGTACCACATTCTCCAAGGCAATCTCTAGAACCACCTGCAACACAAAGAAAATGTGGTAATTGTGGTCAATTTGGTCATAATAGAAGAACTTGTCCATGTAATCGGTAAATTAATAACAGAAATGAGTTTATGTAATGCACATACTATTGATCCTCTTTCAACAGGAGAGGAACTAGTTTGTCTACAACAGACTATTGATCCCCTGAAACAGGAGTGGAACTAGTTTGAATGCCAAATATTCTAATTATTGATCCCCTGAAGGAGAGGAACTCGTTTGTAACGCTAAGACATACAAACTATGGATCCCCTTGTTTGAAAACAAAGGTGTGGAACTAGTATGTGTGTGAGACGTCAACATAAACACAAACACTCACTTTTGTTTAAAACTTACTAACTCAAATGGGAAGGCTGAGAGAAAGTTAGTCTCGGCTGAGAGAAAGTTAGTCTCGAAGTTATCATGCAGGTGATATGTGTTTATTATTACAGGTGAGAGGACTGATGATAAAAATGTGTGGGAGAAGAATACCAAAAGAGAAGTCATTGCATCATTCACAGCCAATCAAAGAACACCAAGTGTCACCTGTGACCTTTAGGATATAAAATAAGACACCTGAAACTGTAAGTTCAAAATCAAAAAGTAATGGCTGCCCCAATAGAGGATGTCCTCAATGAGGTCCATCCATCTGATGGTAAGTTGGGAATGTGTAACCCTATAGTGATAACTATAATGCCTTTTTTTGGTAGATGAACTTAGTAAGTTGTTCATATGTTTGTGTTGTACATTAAAAAGCAAAAAATAACTGTATTTATAGCAGAAAAAGAATTCAGGGAGGAAGAGAAGAAAGGAGACAGAGGACAGAGGACAGAGGAGAAAGGGGAAAGAGACAAAAAGGACAGAGACAAAGAGGAGAGAGGAGACAGTACAAAAGAGAATGGTAAGATTGAGTGAAATTGACATTGAAAATGACATTGTTCTTAATAGAATCAAATGGCCGAAGTAAGTTTTCTTTTATGATTGCAATCTAATAATTTTTGCTGTCAAGCAGATGTAAGAAGGGCCATTGTATTAAAAAGTAACTTTGCATTGTATTTTGGTTAGTTTTATTTACAAACATTAGGCAAGAAGAAAGAAGGAAGGCCCTTAGGTAATTAAATTAATAATAGTTGAATTAATTGTTCTTTCATTTAACACTAATTATTAACTTTAAGACTTGGAACAGTTTCGGCCAGCTCTTAAAAGTAAACATAATTCAAGTGTAAATTAAAGGCTTTATGACATTGTAAATTAGGACAGCTGGAACTAATAGAAGAAGGAAGGAGGGAGAGAGGAGAAATAAAGGACAGTGATGATGGGGAAGAAACAGGGGCAGGAAAGGAAATAGAGGGGACAGAAGAGACGGAGACGGGAGAAGACACAGGCACGGGAGGGGAGACAGAGAGAGAGAAGGGAAAGAAATTCAAAGTAACAATGGAGCATTAATGTAAACAATAATAACTTAATCTCTTTTTGTTAGAAGAAAAGGAGACAACATAGTGGTAATGGGAAGCAGGGACGAGGTGGAGGGGGAGGAGCAGGAAGAGGAGGTGGCCAAAAAAGAGGGGGAGGTGGCCAAGGAAGAGGTGGAGGTGGCCAAGGAAGAGGGGGAGGTAGCCAAGGAAGAGGAGGAGGCCCTGCTACAACAGTAATTGCAAGAAACATCATTAAACATAACAATAACAACAAATCTTTCATAGGATTCATCCACAAGTGCAAAGACCATAAACTATTTTAACGTTACATGTAAACAACTTAATTATACTTCTAAATAAAAAATATATATATATTACCTGTAAACTCAAGGAAAAGCGATGGCTGGATTTGAATGAAGTATGTGGATGATCTGTGTTCAAAACAGTCCATGAAAAGGACTTTTAGCACTAGAAGATGTAATAATAACTCTATAACTTGGTAATGAAAAAACTTACTAGTATTTGATGTCACCATGAATGGCAGGGCTTTAGACAACTCTTAAGATGTCCATTATACAAGAAAAGATAGTTCAAATGCTGTCAAAAGCGAGTCAAAAGTGCTTCTTTCTACATTCCCCGTTTATTAATTGATTTGGGTGTGGTTTTACGTGGTTGGCGTGGTTTCATTTACTTCGTGAACGGGCATGACACGGAAACATTGAAAATAACTTAAAATTTCTTTTTCTCTGTACTAGTATTCCAGAGCAATCGTCCAAATAGCGTCCCTAACTTTCAAATTTTATTGCGCATTGTCATAAACGGGATATTGCTGGAAAGGAAATTTTTTTTCTCTATCTGTGAGTACCAGAAGCTGATTTTACCAAAATCCCGCAGATAGCCTGGTTTTCTCATATCGGGTCACATATACATACATGTATGATATCCAATCAGATGTGTACGTTGTACATGCTATCATTATTATTTAGTATGTCACAGTCGTATTTTATAATTGTACTTATTTGGCGCTGATTACAATGTGGTGTTAAACAGTGAGGTCAGACTTGAAATAAGACTCAAAAGGTGAAGGGGATGTTTCTCTTCGTGAGCACCTGTATCTTGTTAGTGGTTTGTAATGTTTGTTTGTGACAAATATAAGGTATATCATGCATGTACATGTTAAATTTACGATATTGTACAAGTGGTACATTATTCATGCATTTCTTGTACTTGTAATGTTTGATGATTATTATGCATCAAATTTATCCATTTATAGTTTGATATAAGCACAAATGTACTATAATGGAGTTTCAAGGAATACAAAGTTGATTTAATTTGTAATAAAGATTGTTCATCCTTACTGTTTTTCCTATTGTTATGATTAGTCTGTGTGTTTACATTGCTGGGATTTGATGTGTTTCTATTACAATACCTTTTAGGTAAATACAGCTTAAAAGGATTTGATAATTCAGCAATATTTTTATTGCTTCATATTGGCATGTCAGATGTAATTAAAGGCTATTTTGGATTTTGCTTGTTGTAACCAAATTAATGTCTTTATTAAGGGTGTGGTCCGACTTATATAGTTTGAATTCAAAACTTTGGCAAATTTGTATACCTTACTGTATATTTTTATTTTTACCATCAATTTTCTTGCAATTATAGTCTAGCCATTCCATTAGGACATCAAAGTGAAACGTCATCAATTTTAAGTGTCTGCTAGTACTAACTTTGCAATGACTTTGCAGCTCCGTCATTACCTTTGTTTTAAGAGATATATTTTGTATTAATACACAGAACTTTCAAAATGATCTGTGATCATTATGCTTAAAACTAAAGTTACATTATCTTTAATTCACAATGCGAATTCTTTAGATAATGTTTGTTTAATCGAAAATAATTTATGCATTTTTTGATAAAAGAATTTTGCTTCAGAAATAAAATTAAAATTATTGTTCAGGAGTTTTAAGGTGCGAAGGTATTGTTTCAATTGAAACCATCTTACTGTGGCAAAAGGATAGTTATACTATTAATTTCTATGAATAACCATAGTATTCATCTCGTCTGTGCATTCCGTGTAGTGGTTTTTGCATCATTACCGGTCAAAATTTTTAAAATGCACGAAAAAAGCATGATAAAAGGTTTGAGTCTCTTCACAAAGCTTGATGGACCGCCAGGACAGGATCTTTGTCAGCTGTTACATCTATTTCATCTAATAGTATCACTGAAAATGTAGAGGTAATTTAAAATTCATAAAAAAGTGTCATAGATCTAGTCGACTGTATTCATGTTTGTTCGTAGCTATCATTACTTCTGTCTCATTTTGCTATTTAATAATTTTAATAATAGTAATAAATAATTATTATAGTTTTTTTAGTTTCATAAAATAAATAATAGCAAAACTGATAATAGCAATCTGCATCATGTGACAGTCCATTGGGACAGATTGCAATAAATAAAGTCATGCATGATTCTGGTGTGGGCAGCCTATGTAAATTGTGCTATTAAAACAGGTTTCTTTGTTGTCTTATGTTTAGAAACTGTGCTAGTATATTTTGTAGGAGTATGACACTAGCTGATAGACAGTGACTGCTGAGTAATAGTGTTAGGATTTAATGTGTTAACTAATTAGCATTTTGTGTTGAAATATTATTGTTACTATGTTTAGTATAATTACACTTATATAATGACTTAATTTAATTTTTTGTGTAAAAGGAGCTTCTTCTCTGTACTCTTGGTCTGTGTCGTTTTGTCTGTAGTTTTTTTCCTGTAATATAATCTTTGATCTTAACCGATCAATATATCCAGTAGCAAGTGCATTTATACCAATAGTTTATGAGTGTGGACAAAGTATGAGCGCGGACGAAGCAAGAACATTAGCCAATATACCACTTTAAGGAAGAAACTATCCTACATGAAACATCCAGTGCAACATGGTTCTGTTCAAAGAAGGCCTCTAGGATGTTGCCACAAAAAGAGATGCAACCAACTGAAGAAGCAGAGCTCGTATGCTGTATAAGTATAAACAATGTGGTGCTGGCTATCTAGGTTTTGTCAGTTGATCCTTTATTGCTTTACCTTATAGGAGAAACCAGTTAGACAGATAAAGTTTGGAGAACTTCGGAAAACCTGTTTCAGAAGATGACATAGTCTGATAAGTAGGCTTTACGCAGAAAACTTGATACTAAGATGAAGGACGGCGAATTAGTTCAGGAGCACATCAAATTTATGACTGAGCTGTTCAATGGACTAGCTGTGCTTGGTGATGCTATCTATGAAAAACATAAAGCTATTTATCTACTGGAAAGTTACCAGAATCCTACAACACTACTGACTGCTCTGGAGGCAAATGAAACAGTGCCAAAAATGAAGATTGTCATGAACAGGATTCTTCACACCGAAAGAAAACAAGCAGACAACGATAAAGAAAAGGCGTTCTACAGTAAGCACCATTCTAAACATAAAGGACCGAGGTGTCACTACTGCAAGCGGTTAAAACATTCAACAGAATTGTCTTAACCATCTAGAGAAGAAAAAGTCAAGGATAAAAATTAGGACTAAGGTCGCTCTTCAAAAACAAAGACAGGTCGTGGTAAACTGGCCAAACCAGCAGTAGGATTAGTAATGTACATGGAGTCTACTGGATCGTCAATTCCAGTGCTACGTGTCTCATTTGTATTGATAGAAGTTTATTCCAGGAGTTCAAGTCACTTCAGAAACTACAAGTCACTCTAGGAGACAGAAGCATGCTCAAAGCACCAGGGCGGATCTAGGGGTGGGCCAGGTGGGCCAGGCCCACCCAAAAATTTTGTGCAGTAATTTAAAATCAATTTTTTCATGTGCATGACTATGTAAACTGTCAAACATGACTATGCAAACAATTTTTAACCACAAAGGAGTTCATTTTAACAGCTTTAATCTTCAAAACTTTGACTCTGAATGCTGGCCTTGTTGGCCACACCCACTAATTACCACACCCAAATCATCAAGGCCCACCCAAGGATCACATCCTAGATCCGCTCCTGCAAAGCACAAAGAAGAGTTGTCACTCTTAAGCTGAAACTTCCTGGAGGTTAAACACTAACAGGGATATTAAGTAATGTACTTTATGTGGCAAAACTGGCATATATCTTGTTAAGCGTTAGCAATGTCACTGAAATGAAAAAAGTATTGACTTAAATGAAGCTCAAGGTCGCGTAATCAATGGTGATGGAGAGTTAGTGGCTATTGCTCTCAAGACTTGAAATCTCTATTACTTGAAATATGAGGCTAGATTGCAATACAGATCTAGTCCATGTTTTTGACGGTTTAACGCTGGAGTACATTTGTCATCAAAGATTTGGACATTTGGGAAAGAACAATTTTCATAAACTAGCCAAAGATGGATTGGTGTATTGATTCAACTACAATATATGAAAGAAGATTGAATATTGTGAGTCGCATGTAAGTGGTAGAATTTATTGAGCCCTTTCTCAGGAAAAAGGACAAGAGCAAACAAACCTCTTGGTCTCATTCATTCTGATTTTTGTGGAAAAATCAGTTCTACTTTACTTGGTGGAGCTGAATACTTCCTCACATTTATTAATGACAAATGTCACTATGTTTTGGTCTACTTGATGAAGAGTAAGTACACAGTCTTTCAAATGTTTTTAGACTGGAAAGCTATGGTAGAAAGGTCAACTGGACACAAGGTGAAGACCTTGGGAAGCAACAATGGAGGAGAATATATTTCAAACGTATTTGATGGTTATTTAAAGAAGGAAGGAATTGCACACCAATATACAATTCCGAAGACCCCAGAAAAAATTGCATATCAGAAAGGATGAACAGAACTCGGGTGGAAAAGGTCAGGTTAATGTTGACAGATTTCAAGTTACCTCATCGTTTTTGGGCCGAAACTTTGGTAACAGCAGTGTATTTCATCAACAGAAGTCTCACAAAAACTCTTGATACAAGACACCTTTTGAAAAATGGACAGGAGAACAACCTGGATTAAATAATTTGAGAATTTTTTGTTGTACTGCATATACTCACATACCAAAGGAGAGAAAAAAGCACGATTTGAAAGCAAAGAAATGTACTTTCTTAAGACATGGAGGACAAAGGAAAGGCTACCATTTATATGACCAGAGTTCATTGTGTCATCTACTTTCGAGATGTAGTATTCAATTAATCTGTGACAGGATTCGAAACTGAACAAGAACAAAGTCGATTAGTGCAAGTGGACAGCTATAATGAAGATGATCTGGTGATTCAACCAACTAGAGAGGCTGATGCTGAGACTGAGGAACCAGTCCCTGTAGAAACTCATGCACACACTAACCCACGGATATGCACCGATGCAAACACCAATACACACTATTGTTGCTACAGGTAGCCACAATCAAGAAGGAGCTGTACTGAAAAAAAAAAAACTGGAGAAACAAGACGACCACATCATGTTGGACTCTGGGTATATTCTGCTGAGAAGGAGCCTTTGACTGTCAAAGAAGCCTTGGAAAGTATGGAGAGAAAAGAATAGGAAACAACGATAGAGAAAAGAATGTAATCCATAAATAACAGTGACGTAGGGGATCTTGTACAGCTCTAGTGAAAAATGTCTAATTGGAAACAAATGGGTTTTTATAGGAAAGCTCAAACCAGATGAATCGGTGGACCTC